ACGTTACATTGCAACAGTTTGCTTTTCTTGACAAGAGTGACTGAAGTTATTGCTTATATGTATCCTAAGGATTTATAATTATGGAAAGTGAAGATAAGCAGTAAAACAGGGGCAAATGAGACCTTAAGTCTATGACATGCTTTTTTTTTTTTTTTCTGAGTTTGTAGTAGAAAAATGCTAAAAGAATTGCAAGCAATATTTATATTTGATTACTCTAACTATTTTTTCTCTGACAAATTTCTTTAACTCTTTTCATCTCCAAGTCAGTGCCATTAATTCACTATCATATTTGAACTTTGCTAATGCCTAAATCTTCCTTCTTCAGTCTTCAGATATTTTCTTGCAAGTATGTGTCTATTGGGCAGAGAGGGTTAGGAAATGGCAACTTCTGAATAAAATGAAATTAAATTATTTTGTGGAAATTATTGGAATTAGCATGGTCCACTTGGATCCAAGCTGGGAACAAAACTATCCATCATTCATAGAATTCTTTTCTCTTTTTACTTGCTTTGTTTGCTGTAGTCTCTTGTTTGCTTGTGCCTCAAATAGAGAAAATGAGCTTCAGTGTTGAGAAGTTTTGTTTCTTCTGTACAAAAGCAACAATAATTAAAATGTCATACTAATTAATATCAACAATTTAATGTGTTCCCTAAATGCTTTAGTAAATTCAGATTTGGATTAGTTCAGCTTTTCTTGGATAAAACTCACAAAGATAAAATAATCCTTACTTGTTTAAGACAAAAAAAAAAGTAAGCATACCTTATTCAGATGGGAATTTAGAGTGGAATTTATTTTTTCATTTAAAATTCAGGTATGACGTTACTTCCACTGTACATACTTTAAAAATGCCATAAGCAATTTTTAATGATCATGGAAGTACACACTTTGATGTGATGTCTTTCCAACAACAGAGTCTTGCTGCTACACCGTCTGTCTGTCCTAGCTATAGGGCACCTGTCTGCTTGGCTGCTGGGAGCAGAGGGCTGCAGAGATGGCTCAGATGCAATGTCTTGTGTTTCAGTCTTCTAAATGAGTGAGAAAAAATCTAGGCAGAGCTTAAGCATCAACTTTTAAATACAGATGGACAAGTGGGTATGGATTGGGCTGAGAAGTGTAGTTGCAGCAAAAAGACAATGTATTACACAAAGTGCTAAGTGGGAAGAGGAGATGCCAACCTAAAATTTGGCTGATTTATAACATATATCAAGATTTTCTAAAACTTTAAATAGATTATTTTTCCATCTCCAACTCTTTCAGAAATGGAGACTGTACAACTTCCAGATCCACAGCTTGACCTGCTATTATTTCCTTAGGAGCCTTTTATTTGAACACAGCATCCTTCAACCATTCAAGAGAAGACCTTGAACTCTGCTTCTACTCATAGCAGAGGTTATGCTGAGAATACTTTTGATAACACTTCTTTTCTTCTTGGGATGCTTCTAGAATATATCTGCTACCTGTTTCCTTGGAGACTGACATGCAGTCAGCACAATGGCTCTATAGCACCTGTAAATCAAACTTCAAAAGGAGACACTGTCCTTGTTAGAGGGAATGGTATGCATTGTGGGGAGAGAGGAGAGCTTTGCTTTCCCCTTCACTTCCAGAGGATAAAATGGCTGTAGGGCTACAGAGAGATTGAGATTTTGTTGGAGGGTGAAGTCTGGGTAGTCTGTGCAGCAGCCTTCAGGCTGCCTGGAGTTTTTATCAAAAATAGCATTGGACTGCATTTAATTTGTAGAGAATAAGGCCTTATTTTGCAAATGGGTTTGTGAATGCAGTAGTCACAAAGGCAATTGTATATTTATCATTAAGAGTTTAGATGGAAAAAAGATACATTAGTAATTCTGACAATCTTGGGCATCTTTTTAGCAAATTCTTTTATCACAGTTGCTGTAATCTTCATTTGTCCCTTTTATGTACCCTTCCTGCATAAGGAGATAGGGCCAGTACACTTGTGAGGACATGAGCTTGAACCTGTTTTCTCCAATTCAAACACTTTATCTTTCACCTCTGTCCTTTGAAGTGTGGTTAAGGGATATGTCCTAATGGTTTCCTATTCCTTTCCCTTATGTCAATGTTTTAAAATGTTATTAGTTTTGGCAGTTATAAATTTAGTCAACATTTAACTTCCCAGCTCTCACACAGAAACAAAATTAAAGGACATATTTGCTTTTAGATTAGCTAGCGATTCAAAAAGAGCTGAAAATAAATAATTGGAGTCTCAACTTAGGAACAGGTGGTATATTACAAGGGGGGAAAAAAGGTTTCCTGTTGGAACAAACACATGAATTCAGGTGAACAACACTTGGTCAAATAATAATTATATATATAATCCTTATTATTCCCCTTTAGAACGAGTACTGTTATTGCCAATGTCAACATCCAGATTTCCTGTGACTTCACTTCAGTGTCAAGTTTCTAGAGTAAATCCACAGCCAAAAATTGCCAGCAGTAGATACAAACAATTTAACAAACATATCAAATGTCCTTCACAGTCTGAGCAAATTTTAGGAGCATGATGCTCAAATATTTGATTAGATAGTGCTGTGGGATGTTCATGTGCTGAGCCTGCTGACTGAGATCCTTTTGACTGCTTACCATTTGCTTTGTAAGGGAGGGGGGGACAGGGGAGGCCCCTAAGGTTAAAGTAAATTACAGATTTTCATGGCATTTCTAAGTGAAAATGAAGTCAACTACTGTGTGATTTTATAATCCATAGCTTCCAAATCTGCAGATTGACACCTAAATGAGTAAAGCTGCAGCTGAATGAAATTTGATCAGATGTGGTGCATAGCCATAAGGCAGTCCTAATTCTTGTGTTATTTTCTGCAGTCTCCCATTATTCTTCAGTGATGTTAGGACATGGCCATCTTTTCTTGTCTTCTCTCAGGCCTCAATCAACCACTCCTTAAGTCTTCTAGGAGTTATGAAGAATTAATCTCTTTGATCCTCTGAGAGGCTTTATCATGTTGGCAGATGATGTTGCATGTCTGCAAATTGAGTGAATCCTCACTTTGATTTTCCTTCCACATTCTGCAGTTCTCAAAATGCCTCACTGGGACTGAATGCAGGTATCAAATCTTTTGTTACCAGGTAAGCTTTGGCTCAATTCCTAGGCTAGCAATGGTCTGCCTGGAGAGTTTTGAACAGTAAATCTCACAATAGCCATGTTGCCTGTGAATTATGTGGAATGAGTTGTAATTTTAGTGAACTGCTAAAGGCCCTCCAAGGCCCTCTTCTACAGAGAGGACTACACAGCCTGTGTGCCCATACATACTCTAAAACTCTTCTGACTAGGTTTGGGGACACCTGAGCGTAGATCACATGGCAGATTTATAGCTGAGAGGATGCTTGGAAAGGTCCTTTAATATTCCTTGGATAGGAGGAAATCTAGAGCTCCAGAAGCCATCAAACATCTTGGAGCCTCCTTGCAGCCCCACGATGAGGCAGTAGCAGAGTGTCATGGTTTGAGCCTGGCACAGAGCCTGTGCCCCCCATGAAAATGCCCTCACCCTGGTGTCTGCTGTGAGATGTGACCAGGAATAAGCAATACAGGCTTTAGCTTAAACATAAAGAACACCTTATTACCTAAACTACAGGAAAATAGGGAAAAACTATAAGGAAAAGAAAAAAAAATTGAAGACTTTACAAAAAAACCACTTTCCTCCTCCCCACTACCTGACTTTCTCAATCCGATACATTCTCCCAAATCACCAACTGCCCAGCCTTGGCACCACACTTTAGTATACTCAAACTGCAGTTCATGAAGAGGAAAGGAGTCCTTCTTGTTCCATAGGCTTCCCCTGGAAACACACTGAAACCTCGTGTGCTTCCCTGTCACTTCGGCACCGCCCGGAAAAAAAAGTCCTTTTGCCGCTTGTGACATCTTCCTTCCATGCCCAGTGCTCTCACCACCGCGCATGGATCAGAGCTGCTTTTAGGGTTGTCTTTCAAGGATGCCTTGTCTCACTCCAAAAAGGCACAGTCTCTGCTTTGGGACATCTGTCCCCCCCATATTTTTCCAACCCCCTGGGGCCGGGGGGTCCTCACGATGAACCCTCCTGGTTCTGAGCCACTGCTTCCCCCTAAGTGCAGTCTCTGTGTCACAGGAACAACTGAGTCCATGGCCACAAGAAAAGTCCAGCCAAAAGGCCACTCCAAATCATCTCTCCCCATTCAATCATCTCCACGTTCTTCGGGCCAGGTCCTTGTCTCATCTCATCTCTTATCTCCCTTCTTATTCAGTTTTGAGGAGGATTAGCATTTTTTTGCAAGGCCCCAATCATGAAAGAAAGGGGTTAAAACTTTCAGTCTCTGTCCCGGAGCTGCGGCACTCCCACACACGCTGCCCACACGCTGCCGCTCCGGCCGGGCACTCTTCCCCCCCCTTCTCCTCCTGGGCCAGCTGCTATCACATTCGGTGTCGCCGGCTCTCTCTCTCTCCCCCTCCTGGGGGGGGGGGAATGGCTGCCCGAGGGCTGACTCCCTGGGGTCTTCCACCCTTCCATCCTCGAAGGCCTCCTCACCTCCCATCTCTGTCCAGGCCCAGGGCCTACCACGTGGCTGCCCCTCCCCCGCCCAGCAGCAGCGGCTGGACAGGGGGGGAGATCTGACCTCTTCGCCGCGACGTCCCAAGAGAGCCTCCCAGGGCCAGAGCCCTGCTTTTAACCCCTGTGTATTCTCGGAGGTGTGTCCAAACCCCACTGGCTACACCAGGTGTCAGTATGAAACTCAGAACATCCATTGGTTTGACCACAGCATCCCAGAATTCCCACTCCTTCCTGGTCAAACCACCACACAGAGGGTGGGGTGCAGTCAGATGAATGGTGTCTCAGCCTGATTTCAGAATGATTAATGACAGCCATTCTTGCCTCACAAGAATAACGTACAAAGCACAGCTCAGCTCTCACTGAATCACCAAGCTGTCCCTTCTCAATTACTCTCTGGGTGTCATTCAGTCCTACATACTTATTTCCACTATAATTTTATTTTTGTCATAGGTTGCTACAACACTCAGTGTGCGTGCACACACTGTTGCTAAGAGCTCTGCTATGTGTCACTTGCCAGCATTCTACAAGGAAGAAATTAAGGTGTTCATCATAAAATACATGTTTGGTAAGTCATTGGTGTAGTCTGAAAACACAGAGCCCCAAATACAGCTTGTCTATTACAGCCAAATAAGGCATAACTGGTGGTTTGGAGAACCTGTTACGAGTGATGCACTGATGAAATGTGAAAAGCTCTGAATAAACTAATTATATCACTCTCTGTGCCCTGGTTTTGTTGCTACATGAATCTAGACTGTGTGTGAACTTGTATGCACAGTCTCAGTGGTCAGAAGGACAATTTCTATAATTTTCCTCCAAGTTTTTGAGTTGTTAGGCATGAAAAAATTTGCACATTATAACACACATGAAACTCTTTAAAGAACTTTAATTCAATGTTCAGCATAAAAGGATTTTGCCTTCCCTTCATGTACAGGCTAAACTCTGATTAGTATTAATAGAACTTACATGTGTTCCATGAAGAGAAAATACGACCACAATTTGTAGGGGGGAAACTTGAAAGAAAATAAGATTCTTAATTATAAATAAGAATTATATTAATAGATATTACAGATATGACATGAAAAAAAATCTGAAACCCACAGTTTATACTAAGTAAACAAACTATTTTAAATTAAGTACTTAGAGAGTAGAAGCTTGTTTCTAATTTCTTGTTTTTCATATATTCATATATTTTGTAGTACCCGCAGATCTTATCTAGATGGACTCTTTGTTATATTTAATGCTGTATAAATATGTAATGAAATTACTTACCCAAAGATATTGAAGTATTAATTTTATTTATAGCCCAAGCGAACCCTATTGTCTACAACACTGAGTTCCTACATAAGTAAAGTATTTGCTATTGATTTCTTAAAAGTTTCGATGAAACATTAAAGAAACTAATTTTCCTTGCTGGGTCTGGTTATATGAGTTAGCCACTAGCATTTGTCCCCGTTTATTAATTAGTGTCCCTAACATGCCTTTGGATAATCATGTATAGAGGAAACAGCATCTGTCACTTAAGTCAAAGTTGACAGGACTAATCTAGTTATTAGAATTGTTAGGTAAATAGACACTTTTATTCTTGCAGTTTTTCAATTCTATCCTGCCAGAAAACAGGCCTTGCTTTTCTCATCCAACTGAAAACTAGCTGAACAGGACTAATTGACAACTGATTTAAAGAGTCAATAAAATTTATAGTATATTTTCCAGGATGTAAGAAAATAAAATTTCTAGCCTAAATCAGGAAATTTGTAATTTGAAAAGATTCTTCCATGATTGGAATCAAAATCTTGTAATGATGGAATATTTCTGAGCAATAAAATTAATTTTCAGTAGGTGATGAATAAAATGACAGTTTATTACTGTAGTAATGAATCTCTTTACTTTTTAATATCTTATACAATAGCAATTCTTTAGTGTTTCAGATGCAGTTTTATTGCTGCTATGGTTACTGTTGTCACTTGTGTGTCTGTGCTGATTTGTATAATCCATGAAAGGACAGCAAACCTAGGCTTGTAATCTATATGAAAAAATAGATTACAATGCACAAAATTTACCACAATATAAAGAAATATACAATCCCACTTTGATTTTTGTATTAAAGAATTGTGGGCTGGGTTGATTCCCTTGGGGTGGCTTATTATTAATATCAAGTGTGAGGAATGGAAATGAGTGTGGATTTCTGAGCAGGGGGCTTTGGCTCTCTGGATGCTCAGAGGGGGCACCAGAGTTCTTGGGGAGAGCTTGCAGGGATGGGACAGGGACAGCCTGTGCTCCCCAGCCAGGTCATGTGTGACAGACCAAGAGACTGGCAGTAGCAGCAGCAAAGGGGGAGCTTTAGCACTTGTTCTCTGGCAATTTTGCCTTAATTGCAAGGTTGAACTCGTCTGCCTGACTGCTGGACTAGATCCAAAGGCAGAAGAAGCCTTCACAGGCCATATGTTCTGTTTTTTAAAAAATACCAGGTCAACAATTGCTAAGTTATTCCTGTTTGTATCTCAGGGCCTTCTGGAGCGCTTGACATGTCTGGGTGACTCTTGCATGACTTCAGCTATCACATTTGATAAGGCAAGCAGAACCTCATAGTTAAAATTCCCCTTCCTACACTGCAGCCGTGTTGTGTTTTTGCTGGAATCTGTTGGGACACCGTTTCTTTGAAGCTCTTTTGTATTTCCTGTAATGTCTGACAAGATGGGTGCTCTAGGGTGGTGCTGGTGGCACATACCAGCTGTTGGACCCCTCCGCTTATTCTCTACATCCTTCCCTCTTTCCACCTGGTCCCTACAGCAAGAGCTTGTAAAAATAGCAACAGAGGGACATTTTAGCAATTCTGCTCTACCATTCAAGTCCTACTAAACCAGCAATATGATACACTTTAAACTCTTCTGCTTTTTTATGTATTATGGAGCTGGGACATAACACCAGAACAACAAAAAGACTTCTTTACATCCAGCCCCCAGCTCAGTTGGTAGCAGAGATGTGTTTCACTTGATCACTGAAGCCAGCAGTGACTGAACAGCTGCAGAACAGCTGTGTCCTGCATAAAAACCATTTCTACTTTTCAAAAGGTTTCAATATTAGACACAAAAAAATGGTAAGATAGAAAAAGAAAAGAGTTCTCATTAAAAGTGTTCATAGAACTGGAGTTCTAAAGTATTTGTATTCATGCCCTCCCTGCTGCTGGCTGTTCTTGAGAATCAGGACAAGCTAATTTGCTCATTGTTTGCTGGGGACAGAAAGTCATGTAAGTAAAGTAGGAAGTTCTAAAGCACATCACTGACTTACAGCCAGTTCAGAGACTTTTTGCAAATTGTTTATGCTATTATTCCCAATGTCAATTAATTGAACTGCATAATTCTTATTGATGCTGGTGTAACTAATGTATTTCCTTCCAGGTGTGTGTCTGTTGGTGTTGTGAGACTTGGCCATTACTTTTTTGTGCCTTTTTTCTTTATGTTAGTTGCATATTTATTTGATATCCTTTTGGAATTTTTTCTCAAACTGGGCAAGTTTGGTTTAAACAGATATTTAGATGGTGAAGTGCAAGGTAAAGTTATAGTTACTGACTTTTATTTTAATAGATTTGTCCTATATACCTGAGATTTAAAGATTTCCTTTCAATACCATGTGGTTAATGAATCTATATAGCTTTCAGTTTTCAATATAGCTATTGAAATCAAGCTGACTTGCTTTTAAAAGAAAAAAATTTCAAAACATGAATCAGATGATGAACAAATAAAAAGGATTTCAAAACATTTTTCCAGGAAATGGATTCGTGACCAGAAAGAACTTCTATACTTTTACAAAAACAAGTATTTAAATTAGAGTTATAAGCAAAACACGTTGAAATTAAAAATAAAAAGGAATAAAAATTAAAGGAATGGGGGGGGGGATCAGTAAAGACAAAGTATTATCTAATCCTCTTGATTTTCTAGGATAGCTGTTGGTACAGACAAGTGTGATTTTTACCCTCTTTGGTAAGCAGCCATTGCAGAGTTAATTAGTCTCCAGTGTTAGCAAGTGGGTGGCATTTACTTTTATAATAATAGGTCTGTCTCTAAAGTGGAGATAGTACAGGTCATGATTGTGTGCCTTATCTTTTGAGGCAGGAACAGTAAAGACTCTGTAAATGGGTTTAAGCAGAAAGTTAACTAAAAGCATTTTGGTGTGTCCCAAGAATGTCGTTTGTTCTAATTATAGAATGGCAAATATCAAGTGGAAGGGATGCTGTGCTGGGGTGGTGTGGGTGACTCAGTGCTCACTATTCACTGCAGAGCAGGCTGTCAGAAAGTGCTACTTTTCTGACTCACTGCATCTTGTAAATGAAGAAAGAAACATGAGCTATATTCATATTATATTCATCAGTGCCATGTTATTTAATTCCAACAGTGTTTGGAGGATTTGCTCAGCTACTGAGCCCTTTGAAGTGTTAGACCCTTGCTCAGTAGTAACAGTAGTGATGCCTAACAGAGTTACTGGCATTTTAGATATAACTGTGGGCTCAAGTGCAATGCTTAAACATTAAGAGCAATAATGGCAAAAGTAGTGTCCTATTATAACAGAAAAGAAATCTCGTTTTTGGCTCTATTACATGAGTTCCAAACAGGCATGCACATACATAAACATTAAAACTAGTTTAATAGAGGACTTGCCATAAAAATCATTCTAATCTGATCCTGTTCTGAATGCTTGGCTAATTAAACAAAACAAACCAAACTAGTTACCCAGTGAAAAAAACATTAAATGTTCTTTTTCCTGAGGAATACTTTTTTCTAAAGAAGCTTAGTTGTTATCTCATTTCCTTTTGACATCAGAAAAAGATTTGTAATTCTGTAACAGTCATTTTCTATGTAATGTAAACTGTTAACATGTATTTTAGGCTTTATATATATATATATATATAAATAAATTGTGGCTATTATTTCAATGTTTGCTCCTATCTAGGGGATGTTGAGCAAGACAAGATTCATCACCCACATGAAATAATGGATAATTCCAAATGTCTTCTGAGAGGGGTCTGAGCCTTTTAAAATCAACTTCCAAACTGTTTTGCTGAGTCATACCTAGAGTAACAGGGAACTTTTTCCTCTGATTTCAGAAACTATGGATAATTTTGCCATAAATTTATTATAGATAATGTGTGGAGTTCCATTTAACTCTGCTTTTGAAAACCAGCTGGTTTTTTTACTTTGGGGTTTTAAACAAAGCGGTTTTGTAAACTAATTGTACCTTATGTTGAAAAACCTGTCATTGGCTGAGTTGTTAGTGATATATATTGCTTTAAAATTTTCCCTTGAAAAACCTATCAGGTCTTCTAAATATTTTTTTCCTATACAAGGTTCTATTATTTTTGTCCAAATTTTACAGTATTGTCCACAATAGCCAATATGCCGGAAGACCTCTTTGGAACGAACCTGTAAGCAATTTATTTCATTTTGAAAATGGGATGTATGGAAGGAAATTGCAGAACAGATGGAAGAAGTGCTATTATGGATTTGCAAACAGTGCAATCAAAGACATAGCTAGTTAGTGCCTGGCAAGATTTTGGCTGGTTTTTTGTCATTTGAGAGGTATCTTGCTAAGGATGGATTAAGTGCTTTTAAAAGTGAGATTAGCACCAGCATATATAAATAATTTTTTTGTTTTGTTCTTTATTGTCCATTACATCCCACTGAAGTTGGGTGCATTGGTTGGTAACAGCAACATGTTTAAATACAGACAACTCAGTGAATGGAGCCATTCAGCAGAGACTGTTTGCCACTACTGAGGATGGAGCTCCAAGGAACTTTGGTCTGTTTTTTCTTTGTTTTACTATTCCTCTGGTTGCAAACTGGGCTCAACACTTAACATTTCAGAGGCTGATCTTCAGAGCCTTCCTTTCTGCACTCTGGATGGTTGGATTTAAATGTGGGTAATGCAAATGTGTATATGCATATATCCATAGCTATTTATATTTACAATAAAGATGGGGGAGCTGTATTTTATGCTAAGACAAGATTAGCATGCTGAAAAGAACCTGAAAATTACTGTAACTTCATCTTAAAGTTGTTTTAATCTAATTTTTAAAAGTGCTGCTGAACTTTCAAAACTGACTCTGCTCAATTCCTAGTCAATAACTTTCATATACAAGACAGTCTACTACTGAGACATATTTTTACTTAGTTTCCAGGTTCTTTACAGCCACTTTATAACAATAAATTCAGTTGTATTATATTGTTTTTATTAATTATTATCTGTAATCATCATGTGCCTGTTTATCTGTGGATTACATTATCTTATGGTCCCAGTCACCTTTTATCAGTCTATTCTCTTTAGTGAAGAAACACAGATGTAATTAACAGTGACTTAGGAAAAATAATTATACAGATCACTTATGCAGACCCACGCACACAGAAGCTAACTCCCAGCAACACTGGTTCTACAGACACAAAGACAATAATGCATTGCACTAATCAGCAATTTCAGGCTTACTAGGCAAATATGACAGAGAAGTTGATTCCAATTTCTAACAAATCCAAGAAAAGGTTAACAAGTATTTTGATGGTTTTGGATCAAAGCAGAGAGAGAAAATTCTCTAATATGTGAGCAGTTAACTTCTGTGTATTTTGATTGTCAGTGATTCAATCATGAATCATACAGTAATTTAATGTTTAGAAATAATATACTGTGTGCTATCACCTTAACAAGCATAGAATTCTGTAGTGCTGTGCAGCATTTTGTCTAAGATAAAGTTATGGTTTATTTGTTGGGTATTTTGATGTTGCAATGAAGTGTGGTTAACACTGAGGTTTGAGAGTATAGTAGCTATAAATTGGCTTTATTTTCCTTTTTAGCAGTAATTTCAGTTCCTTTTTCTCTTCTGTGCTTATGATTATTATTCTGAAAAGAATGAAAAAATGGTGGCACCACAGTATGATGATAGACTGAGGACAACTAATATAAGCTGTCTGAAAAACTGCACTGAGTTGTGGTAGCCAAACAATTTAAGAAAAATGCTGCTGGCCAAGGGCATTTATGGATGTGCAGCCTGAGAGTCTGAATTTTTCAGAATTAATTGTGAATATGGTGTAAGTTAAGGGAATATGTACTTGTGGATGAAAACTGTTCCTACCCAACTAGAAAAAGAAAGCTGAGAATCAGTTCAGAAAATCTGATTTTTATGTATAGATCCCAGATCCCAGAGCAATGGAAATTTTGCACGGATTGTGAAGTACAGTTAAATATACATAAGACACAGAGTGGTGTTTTTCTCCTGACCTCTGGTCTGAACTTTTAACTGTAGTCTTGTTTACTGCATAACTTGAAACCTTTTCCACTTTGGAATGGAGTTTCTTCGTGTAGAAATGAAGTTATGGCAGATTGAGAAAAAATTCACATGAGGAAAGTTGTTCTTTTCAGTTTGCCTTTATGGGTTATTTTTACTATGTTAATGACTATAAATTGAAAATGGGCTCAAAACTAGTTCTAGATCTTATGCTATTGAAAAGTTTTTGTTTTGTTTTAAATTTAAATAAGTATGCCTTTTAAAAACATTAGTAGTATAAATCACATGCATATGCTGACTGATTCTATTACCTCATTTTCAGTACAAACCTCTTAAACGGAATCCCAGAGGATGCATTTCTGCTTTAATCTCTCCGTAATCAAGCAAAAATATGTATTTTAGAAGCTTTCACAGACAAATGCTTAAACTGAACTGTAATTTGCATGTTAGTACCTGAATGTATTGTTTCTGACTTTAATTACTCAGTTTTGTACTATTATCCTGATTGTGTTTGGAGTATTTTATCAATAAATTTCCATCAATATTTTTATCAATATTTTTATAAACATTATATTGCAATTGATGGGACCTTGCTGATATCTAGTATGTTGTCAATAGAGCCTTCCACTTTATGGTAATAACTATTGACCTGTGAATTCTTGAGAGTAAAAGAATACAGGCTTAACTAGAATTTCGTCAACAGCTCTTGTAAGGGTTTTGGGCTAGATCATTTTGTCTGACCGTTGTAACTCCACTGATTTTTGCTGTGCTGCTTTGACCTGGATGGTCTGGGAATTTTTGGTATTTTCTACCTGAATAAAAACATTGCAGTGATATCTTAAACAGGTGAATTTTGATTACCCTTCTGGTGATGCTGACAGCCTGCAGGAGGTTAGAGCAGTGGACTGCTCAGTTAGAGGCAGCAGAATTCACTTCCACAGCTGTTTGCAGCTAGCAGGGAGAAAGAAATTATTTCAGCCAAAGGTAATGCGAGGCAGAAGGCTAATGGCTATCTATTTCTCACCACCAGTACTGAATGTATTACTGTGCTGATTGCTCAAAAAAATTCCCTTGCTCAAGTAAAACAATGCAAATTTTTTGAATTAACTTCAGTAGAGTTTGGTTTATTGACCTATGGCTTTGGAAACTTTTTCTGCCTTTTCTAGCTTTTTAGAAATTCTCAAAGGAAAAGTCTATATCTGCAGCAGATATAATATAAATTTTAAATAACTATTACAACACAATTCTCTGTAACTGCAGACATGAATTTTGATGCTAATCTCTGAGTATAATGAACTTTTGTCTGTTATTTTGCTCTCAGATTGATGCTTAGTTCCAGCATCCAGTAGGGCAGAAAAATAACTTATCAGCATTCATTAGATACATGAAACTCAGTGGAATATTTCCTGTTGCCTATGAAAGTTGCTTTCTAAACTAGGAAAGGATGTATGAAATGAGAGAAGGCAAAACAGAATTGAAATTGGATAAGAAACCTTTCACATAGGGGCCATTAGTTATCAAAAGCTATTCTTACATGATGGCTCACTGGTATTCTAAATTTAATGCCATATGTGGGTGATCTCATCATTGCTTCTTTCTTAATAATTTAACATCTCTTATTTTTGCTGCTGGGACCTGGGTTTCTTAGTTGTAGCAGGTTTTTGGGGTGTCTTTGTTCAATTTTTCACCAATAAAAGGAAACATTGTTTTTCAGGACTATGTTTTCAAATTTAGACTGCTTTTCTTCACAAATGTTATGAGACAAGCTGGTCTGTTGAGGAAAAACAAAGGGAACAAAAAGTCTTTCCTCTGCTCTTTACCTCCTCGACATAATGGCAGTACCAGGTCAATTTCTGGTTTACTTCAGAGGTATTCATAATTTCAGGTGAGCTGCCACCCCTCCTCTTGTTCTACAATTGAACTTTGTTATAATTTGTTTTCACATAAGGTGATTTGCTTGATCTGAGTCAGAACAGATTTTTTTTTTTTTTTGTCTCAGTGGCAGGAGCTCTGTGCTTTTTTCCTGCACTTCCTCAATCCAACACCAAGGCCAAATTAGTTTCAACAATTGCAGCTATATAAAACTCAAAGTTGTTTAGGATCAAGAGCAATTGAAAAACTGAAAGTCAGATGCCAGAATTGTGTGAGGCTTGAGGTTTCATTTTCAGATTTTAACCCACAATCCACATCTTCTTAATGGTCAACCCCAGGAATTTTGTGTGTATTTCTAAGGGGTTGGGTGAGGATGTTTTTTCAAAACTGTAATATTTTGTAGGCATCCAGTGAGTAACATCCATGTTTTCTATAACAAATCTAAAATTTTTGCTTAACAACTAAATAATAACATCCTGACCTCTAAGCAAACCAGTGTCTATCTTTGAAGGAACAAGACTAATGGATTGAAAGAGGAAAATATGTTCTTATTTTGCATGATACTACTTCAGTAATAGTTAAAATTCCCTGTATTGATCTGGACATGAAAACAAACACCAAGATGGCTTTGTTACCTTAATGTATGAATTTAGTGTGTGAATTCAATTAACAGTCATAAACAAGCAGGGAAAGCTTAGCTCGCCCTCATTTCTAGGTTATGGATGTAAGAAGCAAAAGACTTAAAAGGCATCTAATTTTTTTCCCTTCCCGTACTTAGGTCAAGGCAGAGGATTTGTAAACATGCCATGAGCTTTAGGCAGTTCACTGTATCTGGACTTCTGAAATAACATTGTTTGTAAAGGATTTTAGAGTTCTGACTTTTGAAGAGACCTCTGAACCTCAGAAATTAACTATGAAAATCTCCATGTTCCTCCTTACTGTTAAAGTTTTTTTAAATTGAAAATTTCCACTTCTTAAATTTAAAAAACAGACCCATATAATAAACTTGATCCATCAGCTGTTAAATTACTGTTGATTCCTCAGGTAAATTCTGTAATTTAAACCAATTATCTTCATTAGATTTTAAGTGTCACAAATAAATTAGAAGCTACTTAATTGTTTTTGCTTTTCACTTGAGAAATGCTATGAAATCATAGCAATGACTTCAAAAATATGGTATAAGAATTATTTTGACTCCCTGGACTAAAACTGAGATTACAGGATGTAATGTGCTCTTTCAGTCAGTTTTAGGAAGGGACACAGAACTCTCTCTTCATGATATGTCACATATATAAAAGAAATTTTAGTCAGTGAGTACTGTCTCTAGAGGACAACTTCAGTTTAAAGGAGCCCAGGTCTAACATTGTTCTACAGACCTTACTCTAGATTCATTCTTACTTATTAGTCTTCCAAAATATATATTTGCAAAGAAATATTTCCCTAGAACATATTAAAAAATACGTTTTTTTATCTAGAAAAGTTTTCTGTGCTGCTTTAAAGAATTGTTTGCTATATGTAAATTTTTAATGCAACTGAGCAGAACAAAATTAAACATCAGAATATTTTTGCTTTAAGGGTAAACAAATTTGATATTCCTATACAAATTTTCCATAAAAGCAAGTGAAATGAATGATCATGCAACTGCCACAGAAAGAAGGGTATTTACTCTTCTCTTAGTACATATAGACCTCTGTAGACCATATTTATTATGTTTCAATGGCTCCAGTGGCTTGTATTTGGAGGATTATTTCAGAGGAAAAATCCCATTTGAAAGGTTTTGTGATGTCAGGGATCATTGCCCAGTTAACTTACTAGTGATGAATGCTTGTAGCATACCCAGGAATTTCATTCTAATCCAAGTAGGAGAAGTAGAATTTTAGCCTAGTAATTCAAAAAAGAAGAAATATTACTTTTGTTATAATTTTTAGTTGGTATGTTTGTAATTTTAGCAGAACAAAATTTGCAAGGACCAGGTAGATCTGGAAACTATAGCAATGTTAAGTTGGGAGACGAGGGAGACAGCACTTATACTATTTTTCTTTGGACTATAGTCTCAGTAACTTTGTTTCTTAATAGCTCTTTGCAAGAAGGAAGAGGAAAAAAGCAACCCCACAATTAGAGCTAGACCCTCAACCAATGCTATCTGATGTTTTTCTTTTCTTTTGAGTAGGCTTACTCTATTTTTTCAAAAAGATCTTTGGTTTTGTCTTATTTCCTTCTCATTTTATTTTCCAGTTTCTCATTTCTCTGAAATGCTGTCTCTTTTCTACTCTGTGAAGTTTAATAAAGTTATGGTTAAAGAAAGGCTTCCATCACACTGTGTTGGCTCTAAAGAGGAGAGGAATTCCCTATCACAGGGCAGAAATCCAGCTGCTTTTGTTGGGCTCTAGTCCGTGCCAGTGCACACCCTGCACTCGGAAAAAGCAGAGCAGGATGACAACAGTCAGCCATCTCTCCAGAGCAGGAGATGGAGGTTGTGAATGTCTGTTCTGGTCAGTGAACTGAAAATGTCTCTGAGGGGAATCTCTGCTCTCATCTTGTCTCTGGATTTCTGCAGGCATTTAATCACTGCTAGCTCAGATATCCACCTGAATCTGGCTGCCTGTTGTACTCCTGTGATTGAACCCCACAGTTTTCTGCAACAAATGCACAGACAAGGTGCAATCAGTAAACCCCTTCACTCCAGCTGGCTGAATTGCTGTTTGCTCTTAGGCTGATAGGTTTTGGGCACAAATCTAAAGTCAGGTTGATTTCAGGGTCCATGAAGCTTTCAAGTATCCTTTCCTCCCTCCTTCTCCCTCATTCTCTGAAGTTTTCCTGTACTTGATGTTCTTGAAACATGTATCTGGGTATTTTACACTGCTAAGGCAGTTATTCTGAAAAAACTTCCATTCAATGCCTAAACTTAGTGATTCTTAATTTCCTCTACCTTTAAATAATTTCCACATTGACAGTTAAAAATTCTTCTAACAATAAATGTACTATTTATTACTCTGGAGGAATATTTTCTTTGCCCAGGACTTTCAGGATCAGGTTTGCAACAGAAACTCAGGGTGTGTGGCCACAATCATTAGTTTGCAATAGCCCTGAGGCCAGGCAGAGAGAAGAGGAATTTTCAAACTGCCTCACCAGTTTTCTTAGTTTGTCTGTACCCCAGTATTTTGCAGTTGTTAATACTTCTCATTTTATCTAAGGGCATTTCATTAGAGCAAATCTTTAGTACTGCCTATGATGAGAATTCTAAATTTCCTCTATCTCTGATCCAATTTCTTTATCTAATACTGTGATACTTCAAAAGGTTATTTTATCAAGTTTTTCTGTTGGTTATGTTTTCAGTCAAATGGTATAAGGAAATACTGCATATAGGGTCAGATTGTGTCCATAACTGGGGAGAAAAAAAAATCAGTGTTCATATCCCACTGTTCGGCTTATTATCAGGCAATCTTACAGCTTGTTGTTGCACTTTCATCTTCTAATTTTTGGACATTATTGTGTATGAGAGCTGTACTCTGCTTCCTGTTTTTTGGCAGATGTCAGAGCATAACATTGGAAAAAAGTTGAGGGTTCTTTGGTCCTGCAGGAGATTTCTCAAGTCTTTACTTCCTAAAGATTTGTGGTTAATTGACAGTCTTTGAAACTGAAGCTCTCTGCAAATTGCAAGCTAGAAGCTCGTGTTTTAAAAGCGTTAAGTAGAGCTCAACAAGCTTTAGCAGAGTAAAAAAAGCTAGTGATTGAACCACCAGTGTGTCCTGTAATCCATGGAAAATATGATGTGTTGGTAAAGAGGAGTCTGACATAATAATATGTTAAAGATCCTTGAACTGAAATTCATGGAAAAATCAAGGAGCTGAAATGAGCAGACTGATTCTATTTTCATATTAGCACCTGAAATTTTGTATGATCAATCTGAGAATCTCTGAAAAGTGAGACTTTCTGGAAGTATCTATTTAAAGTATTTAAGTGGCTCTGAAAACCACAAAGTACTTTTGTAAAAGTCTATTAGGGTATTTCATATTATTTAAAAACAGTTGTTACAATAAAACAAATGCTGCAAAGAGCAAAATGCAAACTCAGTTGGGTTTTGCTGTAGACAGTCTTGCCTGCCTGTTAGTGTGGTATCTGTTGTTGACTCCTGGCTGGCAGAGCTAGACTTCATCCAAAACCTGCTTATTTAGTTGCAGTGCATTTCTCTTCTGACCTGCTGAATACCGAGTCACATGGCAGAGATATTTAATGTGCTGCCTTCGGCCTATCCCATTAGGCCGAAGATTTATGCTTAATCCAAACCTCAGATGGCTGAGTGGGTTTTAAAAGATATAACTCCACAGTCCTTATCTTTGCCTGGTTTTGTTCTTTACGTTTTCCTTTGGTTTCTGGTAATCATTCTTCCACACATTGTTTGCCCCTTTCTCTGCTGCTGAGCAGAGGGGATTCATTCTCTCGGAACCCATCGGACCAGCAGGCACAAAGACAGACAATCTGCAGCTCTGCAAAAGTGGAGAGTGAAATACTCTTCTCCTTCAAAATAAAAAAATTGGTAGAATTAAAACAAAAGAAGATATGAAGCAGTTAGAGATATGAAGGAGTAGAGAGAGTGATACAACTGTAAAGTTTCCAGAAAAGGAGAACTAAAAACCTTGTTTAAAGCAGGCTTTTCCAGGGATTATACAAGTATGAATTTGCATGCGAGTCTCTATCTCTTATCACTTTATGCTATTCATAGATTATCCCAGGCCATCACAGTCTTCAGATCTTGTCTTTCCTACCCCCATTTGTTCTAGCAAATGGAAGAATGAACAAGACAGACCATAAAGATGCTGATGCTGCCGCCCATTTTTCATCATGTTTGTAATCAAAAATCTTTACAGTAAACATGTGAAACTATCTCCTGTTTCCTGGACATCTTCCACATTAAATGTAGTACATCCCTTCACGTTCCTAAGATAAATTATTATTTAAGTGTGACGTATGTCTTCCTGCTGTGATATTCTTTGCATCAATTCCTTCTTCAGAGACACTCCTGTGGCTATTTAATAATGGACTAGGAGAGAATATCTCAACTAGAGAGCACAAAAAAGTTCATTTCAGTTATTCTGTTTTAGTTTAGTCCTCTACTAAACCACCCCTTTCTCCAACAAGCCATTGTGTAGGGGTGAAATTTAATATCTATATGAGAACAAGCATTGGTAATCTTATGACAGCACATGAGATTAGGAACAATGAAGAGATTAATTTGATGAGGTTTGTTTATATCTTCTCTCTAAAACCTTTTCTGGGAAATTCTAAAGGGTTTTTGTAATCTATGATTAAATTCCAATACATCTCCCACTGGGTCACTCTCTTGTATTTTCTGTTTACTTAAATAACATGTGTTTTATGTAAGAACTGCATTTCCATTTTTCTTTTACCTAAAACATTTCTGTTGAGCTGTCACCATAGAGTGAAAACTTTGATAACACCGATGCTGCTCTCTCCAGCATAGACTGCTTTAAAATTTAGCTTTAGGAATGTTTTACTTTATCATGAAGAAATTGTGAATGCTGTGCCACTGAGTGCCAATGACTTTGCTGTATCCCTGCAGGCTGGGAGCAGGAGCTCAGCAGCCCCGGAGAGGCTGAGCTGTCCTGATTGTGAGCTGCACGTAATCTTTGGTGTGCAACTGTGGGAGTGCTTCCAGACTGCTCTGGAATCTCTCCTCTTATGGACCACCCAGTAACATCTTGCTTCTTGCTCAGCTGTGTGCAGAGACTGGTAGGCATCCACACCTTCTAAAAAAAAGGTAAAAAACCCATGAGGGTAACATGAGAAAAACAGGTAGTCAAAGAGAAGAGGGGAAAATAAGGTGATTTTCTTTCCCTGGTGAGTTATGTCTCAGAAAGATATTTAGGTGATCAGTAAAAAAAGAAAAAGAGAATTTAGTCAAATTCCATTACTCTTGAAGTTGATCAAATTTATGTAGAAAATAATTAATGATGAGAGCTGCATTATATCTTAAGACAACCAGTTAGCTACTTCTCTTGAAAAACCATATTTTGTTACAAGTAATTCTAAAATATGCATCTGGTAGTATGTTAAATTTGGGGTTTTTTTCACTTATTTATTGTGAAATAAGAGAAAAAAATAAAATAACAAAAACCCCCCCATGGTTTGCTTTTGATTGCTTCTTTCAGTGAGAAAAAGCTGTGGCCAGTAACACTAAGTGAATGTTTTAAGCCCAGTGAAACAGGCAACAGGATGTGACATTAATTAATTTCATGAATTTTTAAAGAATGAGTTGATTCAAACATCAATTTGCAGAATGACATAGCAAAAGAGTCCAAGAGCTCTTCTGCCCTGGAGGGGAGCATAAACACTCAGTGGAGACTTTGCCTACCAGAGGCGGGAGGAGGGGAGGGCCAGGCTGGGGTAATGGATGGTGAATGAAGTGTGACTTTCATGTGCTCCCGGCCTCTGGTCCTTCAGCCTTTGAATGCAAGACGGCTTTTTTCCATCACAAATGTTAGAAAGTCGTTTATTGCTCAGGGTGTTTTAGGTGCCAAAAGGCTTGCAAATGAAAGATGGCAAAGCACACATGAAAGTGAGCATGAAACTATTAAAGGAATGTCAGTTGATGTATACAAGTAACAGAAATAAAAACAAAATTATGTTAATACCTTCCTCATTATTTTCCCTGAAAATAGACCCTTACTCATCTGTCCTTTCTTTAATATCCTTTAATTAAATGTGTTTAAATAAATAAAAAAGCCCTAAGCATATGTTATGACCAGTGATATTACTCTAATGTATTTCTCCAGTGGCAATCACAGCTGAATTGCGGGTGCATTTTCAATGAGACCACAGTTCTCATTCACCAGTTCTTGTGAAAAGGTGCTGCACTGATTCACCATATTGATTAAATTATTTTAATTTCTAGGTTATAACAGTGGATATGTCTGTGCTTGTGTGGAGGGTGAATACTTTTTGTTTAGTTTAAAAAGAAAAAAAAGAAGGAAATGTATTTTGCAAAGCAATACTTTGTGTGATACTTTTCTAATATAGAAATGAATATAAATAAATATATAATGAAATGCATAGAAGAGTTTTTATGTATATCAGGGTCAACATTAATATTGATATTTTAAGTTATTTGATCTCTCTCTGCTAAAATCTGTCTTCCTTGGCTTATGATTCTATAAAATAAAGTTGTTTAGCTTTGAGAAAAAAAATAGTGGTGTAGTCTGCCCATTGGGACCAAGTGTACCCAATCTTATCTTTTTGCACCCAGCCTCAGAATTCTGGGGGAAAAAAATTAGCTACGTGTAATATTTATTATATAAGAAGTACAACAAATACTAAATTTTATAGGCTCTCTCCACTTCTTGTACTCAGATGCTCCATAATGCTCAAAGAGAAAAACTTTTTTACAAAAGTATAAAAAATGATTTATTTGTATTATAAAGGAAAATAACATATATGGAAGAAGGACCCATTTGAACTACTGTTGAATACTTACTGAAACTGTGACAATTTTCCTGGGAGTCTATTAGCACTAGCATGGTCCACAACAGGATGTTTTATGACTTTATTATGGATTCTCATTTACAGGAATGCAGAGTCAGAATGCAGCTGGTTTGTTCCGTATTTAGCAGTTTAACTATTTATTACCTGTCACAGCTCTCACCCTGTCCAAGGATGTAACACTGAGACCATTCAGTAACACACTGAGAAATATCCATTACTGAGCATAAGATCATTAACATGGCACAAGTTTAACTAATAATGTTGAAAACAACTAATAAATCTACCTGTTTTTATTGTCAGTTAAAATCTGCATACATCCTATGGCATTCATTAAAAATTAAGTGGATAGATACAATCAGGGATAATCATGCATGCCACTTATCCCTGAGAACATGACATGCTGTTAATTCATAGAAACTGAAAGCCTAATTACTTCTATCACTGTAATTGATGGGCTTTGTATGTACTGCTTCATCATAGAAATTAATGTGAAACAAAATTTCCTCTAATTTATTGGCACTTCTGAAATAAAGGAATATTAGTTAAATATGCAGAATTCTGCACATGTGTGCTGTTGCAAATTTCAGTATTAATTTCTGCAGTCTTTCAGAAGCATATTTCTGCCTAGTGTTTAAGTATACTGTAATTATTTCATTACCTAATTGTCGAATATGTTATTAACCATGTAGTAAAATTAATTTTTTATTAGTGAGTATGTTCACTGACCATACATTCTGTGTTTGAAATGAGGAATATCTCATGATGTTAAATCATCATCTAGTGAGCTAAATACTTTAAAAAACAGGCAAGGCTACATTAAGATTCAAATATTATTTTTTCTGCAGCTGTGATGTTGTTGACATCTCTTTACTACCTGTTAAGTACAGTAAAGGTAGGAATGCTCTATGTCTTACTCATTTTCTCATATTCCTGTAAAATCAGCAACATGGGCCAAGTTAATCTGATGGCAGCATGACTGATAAAATTCTGGTTTTTTAAACTAAGGCCATGCAATAGAATTCAGGTAACTGCAAGAGGTGAAGAATCTTGACCTTGTGCTGTGTAACAGGGATTGCATGGACAGTTTGATATCTGTTGTAACAAAAACTTTAAATTTATGGTGATGTTTAAGCATTTGGGCAAGACTGATCAGGCTTCTCTTCTGAATAACGTGGAAAGAGTTCCACTTGTCCTCTTGTCCTTTCTCCTGCTCTCTCTGGCCTACAATGCTGTCATTCAGAAAATGAGTGTGGAGGTATTCAGGTTTTACAGTACTCTTGGAGATCCTACACTTTACAGCTTATAAAACTGACAGTTGGGAATAAAACACCTTGGTGAAATGAAAAGTTCAACAGGTTTATTTTATATTTGTAGAATTTACTATTTCCCATATTCAGGCTTGGCCCGATATCTCTGTGCTAGGACATACAGGGTGGACTGAATTAAGACATGTGGGCTAGGACTGGTTGAGTTGTTGTACTGCATATTTAAGACTTATAAATATGTGCTTTTGATGAGATAGTGCAACTAGAAAGAGGAGGGAAGCAACTCTATCTATTATGCTTTCTGTCTTTACTTACTATTCCTGCATTCCAGAAAGCAGAAAGTTTGCAGTCACTTTTATAGATTTATCCATTCTTCAGAGAGAAAGAATTGAAGTCTATGTACTTAATTGCTGAATGACTGCTAAGGATGGGTTACCTGTTTTTGCACAAATAAAGGACCCTGACAATCAGTGGAGGTTTTCAAAGACCTGTCATACACATACTATAAGGGGTTGGTGAGACACTGTAATTGAATATTACAGGACAGTGGTGGAGGACGTTTGATACTATGGTGTCATTTCCTTGAGTCTCTTTTGAGCCATGGGAGCAGTTTAGAGCAATACTTACAGAAAAATGATTGACTCTTTCTACACCTTAAGTCACTTTTCTCCCAGAAGAAATAGACCTGAGGGCAGCAGCTCGTTCTCAGATACTGCAAAAACCAAACTGAGTATTAAAGGTGGAAAAAAGATGTCTCTAGGCTCACGGGAGGGGCAGAGGTTTGATTTTTTGTTGTTTGTCTATTTGTTTTGTAAGATGGTAAAAAAACTTAAGTTTGTATTACCAGAATAGTTCACTAAAAAGGAAGTTGCATAAATGCAATCCCTTCCTGGTTTGATTTAAGTTGTAAAAATTGGTTGTGTTTACATCCCTCAGTAAACCTAAAAACTTGTCTAAGAATATGCTCTAGTTCAGTTGACAGCTTTACAGAAAATTGAGTAGACAATAAAAAGGGAGATGTTTTCTCAGACATATTTAAAAATTGCGTTTGATCTGTTGCATTTTATCATTGGAACAAATAAGAAGGAAGGTATTGCAGTGGGTAGAATTAACTGTATTCAGATTTAACAAATATTGATTTAAAATGTAAAAGATTTAACATTACCCTCTAGGAAAATCATCAGAAGGATTTACACTAAAAGCTTTTAAACAGTTCCAATGGAAACATCTTTAAGAAGCAATGCTGTAATTCTAGGAAGAAGGGTGAAATACCTCTGCAGAGACCTGCTGACTTTTTGATATTTTTTGACTTTCTAAAATGTTATATTATTTTTAATATGAGCAAAGATGTTATTCAGTTTTGAGAGGAGGGAAAAATGAAAGAAACAAAATAGGCCGTTCTGGAAAAAAAGTTTCCACTATTTCAGTATTTCACTTCTAAAGGGTTTATAATAATATAGGTTATGATCTTGAGAAGGTTTTGAGGAAAAAGAGATAGAACAAAAAGTTTTGTGAAGATATTAGTGATTTACCTGTAGTTTGATGTGTCTATTCAGATTGCTCTATTAAAAGTAAATATATATAGGAAAATTCTTTGAAATTAAGAATTTGCAATAAGCCAGATTTATTATTGGGCAATAATAGCAAAGGATAGAATGATCAAATGAAAAGGAAAACCTAACAATTCCTTTTTCCAATGAACTTATTGAAACAAATCCTGATGGCAAGAGATTTGAGTGGGGAGGATGGAGCCTCAGTAATGCAAAGGAAGAACTTGGATTTATTTGCTGGATTTGCTATTGACTCCTCCTCTAACCAATAGCAGGTAATTTCCTGTGTCCCAATTTCCCTCTTTCTGTTCCCATTTCCTTGTTACCAAACCACAATTATTCTGTCTCTTCCGTTTTGTTTAATTTTCTAGGTTACAAGTTTCTGTGCAGAGGGAATATACTCTGTGAATGTGATTGGTTTAATGGAACTTGGGAGTTTGTAAAGGCTATTCTGATACCAACAAATAATTATAGTTTCAATGATCTTCAACAAATATTTACCAAAATGTAATGCTTTAAATTTCACTATAATTAGTTTTATTCCAGTGTTTCTGTGAAAGGAACCACATAATAAGCGATTAACTAAGACATTTAGCACTGAATTACTTTTTCATGGCTCCTTGCTTCCATTAGAGGAAAAAAAATGTGTGTTTTCTTTGGCTTCTCTTCTCTGGATTCAAAATGGATAAACTGTATTGATAATTCTTCCTAGCTTGTAGAGGTGGTTATCACTGATTGCATGGTCATTAGCCATTGTAACTACAGTGGTAATGCTAAACTTAAAATCCTTCTATTTTGTTCCTAGAATGCCTTTGTTACACAAACCAGTTTTAAAATATGTTTATTTTGTCCATACAGTGAACGTTTTAGCCAGAGAGCAGAAAGTTTTTTGAAATTATTATATCACTCCTCCACACTGCTGGAATGCCTTACTAAGTCAGATTCAGGCTTCCTCTGTTGGCACTACATTCTGTTTCCTGTTATCTCTAAAAAATAATGTTATTTATGAATAGAATTTCTTGATGAAAGCAGACTCAGCACTTTCTGCTAAACCCACAATCTGACCAAAGAACATTTTATTTCCACTGTAGCTCAAACTAATTCTAGACACTGCAATGTTGGAAATGAGCATATCTCTAAAAGTGAGCATGTCTATATATTTGTTGGAAAAATGTTTTAAATGGGATTTTCTAATCTTGCAGCCTCAATCAGATATTTGACAGCAGCAAAATTCTTCCAGCTACTCTTAAAGATGCTAAATTGCAGGTAGATCCAGCAGATGAAAGTAATGACATTAACTTGATACATATGCATTTTAACATAGAAAGTGAAAAGCTTTCCTGGAACCAAAACCAAAGCAAAATTTCCATGTGCTTATGACTGAAAATCTGAAAAAAAAAGCAGTTGCTTTGAAGAGGAGAAGCTGTTCACAAGTATTTCTGCTCTTCACTTCCTGCATTAAGACCCTGGAACATTATTCTTACTTGCCCTACATTCCAGCCTGGCTGCACTCAGAAGTTAAAAATCACACTGTAAAGATCTATTTCACCAGCATTTCTGTCCCCTCATTATAGTAAGATATCTAGCTTTTTTCTTTCCTTGAAAAGAAAAACAGGGCTGTGTGTTATTCCTATATGGCAAACTGCTGGATTTTCTCTTCTGCTGCCAAAACCTGTCTCAGGCCCTCTGAGTGTACCCTGGGATAAAATTTATTTAAAGCTCATAGTCTGTGGTTTAATACAGCAGAGTGCTAAACATTCCTTCCTGTTTTCACAACTCTCCTCTGTCAGCTCCCTGTCTCAGAGCTCTGCTTGGAGCCCATGATGAGATCCATGCCTCTGCACAGAGCTGGGTGACAAAGGCTCTGGGTCAAGTACTGCCCAAGTAAGAGTAATTTGTTTACATTTACTTTGAATGTCACTCTCCCTTGACAAGAATACTAAGCAGGTTAGATGATTGTGGGTATATGTACAAAACCACTGATTATATGCTAATTTCTGTCCCTTTGCTGAAAGTCAGTATCTTCAAA